ATTTCAAATACATCACAAACTACCCCCACCCCACCCCCCCCAGAAATTGAGCATTTCAAATAAAAATACACAGGAGCTCTGACTACACTAAAAACATTTGTCTTGCCCTTTACATGGTGTATTTTGAAGTCCTGAGCTTGCAGAAATAAATATGCTTATTTTTTTATTTTTATTAAAGCAGAATATAAAATAAAAGATCTTTCCTTAACGAGCAGGAAAACTTTCTGCATTGAGAAATACTATTATTATATACAAAATTGGAGGAGACAATTTTAAAGAATATTCATACTGGACTTTCGTGTTCTATTAAGTACAAGACTAGAAAATGTTCCTTTTTGGTCTCAGAATATGTGCAATCAGCTTACAGAGTCCTGGAATCACCTTTGTACTTTGTAATTTACAGGACAAATTTTTATTCTGAGTATTATCCTCTTACTTTCTCATGAATTGTTATTGATGACTGAACAGTGAATACTAGAACTCTGGTTTGGGTTATAATTGATCGTATAAATCAAATGACATAATTTCTATTTCCTGACTAAGTACACTAAACTCTTAACATCAGGTTATATGGTTTGGAAAAGCCTTTGAGGGCATGAAATTTCTTAGGGAGGAGAAGTTGCAGATAAAGAGGATTGAAAATTTTTGATATATTTTAAACCTCTTTTCTTTCTAGGCAATGTAAGCCTTGCCTTAGGGATAGTTCCTAGAAAAATTAGACTACTCTAAAATTGCATGGCTGAAAGCACACCGGTTTAAATTAATTTTTCATTGTCAAGCTGCATAATGTAATTATATATGCTTGTGTGGTCTCAGTTGTAGAAAATGCAGAGGATTTTAGCATTTTGCATGAAGTACTGGCAAGTTTGACCTCTGTTTGTTTGAGACATTATTGTCACCAAAAGCATCACTTTCCTTTGATGTTCACCTGCACCATTTGAAGAGGTGGACCCAGGAAATGAGAGAGGACAAAGGGAAAACTTGCAAGGACATTTTCCACGGGAATTAGCATAAGAAAAGATAATTGTAGTCCATGGGGATATTTCAGGCTAATGCCCCTACATGGCTGATCCAATGAGTTCACTGAGTAACTGGCCATGCTCACACTCCTAACTCACTGCATATTTTTGGAGTGGAAAAGTGGTTAAAACTAACACTGCAATGGACTCATGGGCAGACTTAGTAACTACAGATCACTGGCAAGGAGTTTGAGAGGTTTGATCTTGGCCACTTGTGGCTGTCAATGTCTACACTTCGGTGACTGAAGAGATTTTCTACAGGACAAAAGAACATTAATTATCCAACTGTCAGAGGAAATGCTGGGGACAATTAGATGGAAAAACTTTTCACTTTCTTCAGTGAAATATCATTTCCAGAACAGATCTGTGATAGAGGACTAAGACTTCTGTTCTGACAAATGCTTGAATGTGAGTTTAAATGTTCACTTCAGATGCGTAACTGAAGGAAAATAGCATATCTCAGATGTTGGCTGGAAATTCATGAGTATAAATGTGGCTACAAATTTATTTCACAAATATGTAATGATCAAAGGTGGAGGATTTGTGCACTTTTTACTGCTCTGTATTTAGACAAATTCTAACTATTTTATTTTCAAAATCTTAGTCTGCATTTTGAAGAGTGTATCTGTACAAATTCCAGTTTTGTATTTGTTGTTCAAGCCACAAGGCACTGTGGATTTATGACTGGATGTGTAGAATAAGGTCCCAACTTGTTTGGGTAGCCCCTAATAGAGTGTGTTTTAATGCTTACATTATAAATTTTTTACCTAATTAGTAATATTACAAACTGAATTTGCACTTTCAAAAATAAAAATGTTTCTGTGAAATAGTAGTGGTTGCAAGTTACTTGTTAAAGAAGTCAAATGGAAACCTTTTCACTGAGGATGGAAAGCTTCAAGGAGAAACAGTAATTTCACAGGAGAGAGATTTTGATGGATTCTGAATTTCAAAACAGATTTACAGACCTAATTTTCAAAGGAGCATTCAAAAAAAGCCATTTAAACTAGATGACACCAGAAAATACTTCTATCTTTCTAAGACATAAAAATTGGGTTTTGAGTGCACTTGCAGTGAAAAAAAAGATCAGTCTCTTGGTGTAATACAATTTAATTCAATGGGTTTTGAAATCATCTCAGAGAAACAACAGCTGAAATGTGATTAAATTCCAAGAATCAATGAAAACAAGCAGCAGTAGAGCATCATGACTGATTCTCCTCTTACTTGTGATGGTGTAGTTTGGAAGTTGGTGAATTCATACCAGGACTCTCCTTTGAGGAACACTATTTTGAACTGTTTTTTGGGTTTTTTTTCCACAAAGAGAATACAGGCAGAGAAAGACATCAGCATATTCCATCAATATAAATGTATTTATTATTGAGATGAGTCTTGGTACTTTAAATTTTTTAATTATTATTGTTGTTTTTATTTCAAGCTTCTGACAGTCTTAAGTCACAGCTGTTTCTGCAGAATGATATGAAATTAAGTAGTCATATACTATGAATCTCTACTCAGAAATCACTGAAAAAAATAAGAACCATTTCTAACTTACCGTAACAGCCATACATCCTGCTGACAAATATTTCAGCACATTGCCCCCACAAGAAACTCCCATATTTCTGATGATTCTGAAAGTATAGCATACACATGCAGCAGACATTTGTCCTAAGCAAGCACAAACCTCCTTCAGTTCTAAGACAGCACCTGAGTTTTACTGAGTAAATCTGTCTTGGAAGGTTTCATGTTTATTACAAGCACTTCTTTGTTAACTAGAGCACCATAACCCTTCATCCTGTGAGAATTTTAAAGAAGTTTTTAGAAGAAGCTGACCTTCAAGAAGTTATCTACCCATTGTAATATCAAGAGCCTCAGCTAACACACTTTATTAATTTTTTTCACATTTTATTCTTATATGAACACAACAAAACAGGTGCTGATATTCATTTTCCTCAGTATTCACAGCCTACACTCTGTAAACATACTGGAAATATATTAAATAATAAATCATCACCATGAGTAAAACTGTTTGGAGAAAATTTTCTATTGGAAAAGGAATATTATACTTTTTAAATAGAAGAGATAATGTATTTGTTTGAAATAGTGTGATGGGGTGTGAAAGAAGTGCAATTAGATTTGCCAAAAAAACGTAGGATTTGGCAGGCACAGCAAAGAAATAACCATCAGATTGAAATAGCACGTTTGGCAGTACTTAGTAGGTTTGTATAAAATTGTGCCCCGCTACCATAATCAAGCACAAGAAAAGTTTTGTTGAATATGTTTGCACACAAAGTGACACTTTTCTTTTTGTTGCTCTGAAGTATAGTAACATTTTTTGCACACAGTGCTCAAGCTAAACTCTTTTCATAACACCTTACCCACATCTATCTGACCCAGTGAAGAAGGGCTGGAATTTCACTCTTTGACAGCACTGCTCTGAGTCCAGCTAAGCATGAATCCTAAAAGTCATGCTGCATTTCCAGGTACTTTAAAACCATAAATCCATATTTAATTAGAAGTTCATGAAATATTGTAGAAGATAAGATCTCTGTTCTAAAAATGAAATAAAAACCTGGGCCCTTGGCTTTCTTCTCTGACTCTGGGCCATAATTTAATTAAAACTGCATATCATATGCTAAAAATCTCATAGACAAGTCTTAGTTGAGGAATTCAGATTCCTCGTGGTACCTCAATCTGTGCTTTCTATTTTGCCATCATATTGTTCCATATTCTTATCCTGTCTCCCACCCCCCTGCATCATGCACTCCTTCCTGTCTTGTTTCTCAATAAAAAGTGAATTCCTTTGAGATTTAATGCTGTAATGTCGAAGTTTGAACACTGCCATATTACTATCTTAATGGATATCTTACTTGACAGCTCTGTGAATTTTAGCTCTCTTCTTTAACAGAATGTATTTGTGGGAAAAAGCTGGCATTGAATTTAAGTGCAGGGAGCTCAGGCAGGCTTGAAATGGAAACCTAGCTAAAATTACTGTGATTTCTTCCTACTGCATTAGAAAGTGGAGTAAGCTTGAGACATTAAAAAGAAAATAGTACATCAATGATGTAACTGAAAACCCATCCTTTATATCAAACACCAGAGCATGATATTAATGATTTATTATACAAATTTGTTATTACATTTTATAGCAAAGTTATGAACAATGATGACACTCAGGTAGATTTTGCTTGTCTGTCTGGGAAATTCTGCGTTCATGTGGAGAAATATATGCTCTTGAATCCATGAAATAGTTTTCACATTTTGGCAGTGAGAGTCATAGAAGTGCAGCCAGTCACAGGAACGGGGTTTACATATTGTCATTAAAAATATTGCAGTCTGCAAAGAATTATAGGTACAATAGCTTTCCCAGTCTCTAGAATAGCAAGGAGTGGTTGCTCAGACTTGTTTCAGACCTTTTTTGTCTCAGAGGGAACATCTTTAGATAGTACAAAAGAATAGATACTTGTGATTTCAGGCTATTTTAGTACTTTTTGTTTTCAGTGTGTGTGTGCATTTGTATCCCTGCCTTTGAGAGGGAATATGGACATGACAGAAGACTGTTCATTGATAGAAGACATCTGGGAAGCTTGTACTATATCTACAAAGTTATTAAACTACCTGAAACAGTAAAATATTGCTTTCCATATTAAGAAAGAGTACTCATATATAAAGGTGATGTCATAGTCTTAATTTACATTAAATTGGCTGTTCATTTGGAACTGGTCTGTAAGAAGTCAATTCAAATGGATTTTCTACATAATCACATCTACAGTGTTTCTCAGACACTGGACCCACGTGTATCATTTGCATGAGATATCTTAATATAAGTATTTCACAGCATATTTCCTCCTCACAGCTGTACTTCTGAAGTAGCACCCACACCTTCTGTTCTTGAAAAATTACACTTTCTCCCCAAGAGCTGAATTCTGCAAATAGGAAAATTCTACCCACTCCCTCCCTCTCCTCAGTTTTCAGGCAGAATCCAAAGCCTGACTATACTGATAAAAATCCATTCATTGACTCTTGGGGCTTCTAACTGTACAACATCTTATCCAGTCCCTGGTCAATATGTTACTGTGCTCCTCACACAGGGGACCTGCCAGATTAGATATTCAGGATTCATGGCACTCAAAAATAACCTGATGGGTAAATCAGGAGGCAGACCCCATATTCATTCCAGTTAAAATCCTGCTCAATTTTGCATACACTTCTACTCACAGAAATTATGCCGTAGTGAACTCTACGACAAAAATCTTAAATCTTTCCTTCAAGAGTTAATGTGCTGGAAGAACTGGTGTGAAGACAGGAGCAAGCAGAAGCAGAGTCTGTCCCTGTTATCTAAAATCAGGGAAGGAATTGAGCTGAAGAGAAAACCAGGAAAGGTAAGAATTTTTGTACTGGAATAACCTCTGGGAATGTAGCAACAAAGATTTAGACTTCTTAGTCATTGTGGTGTTTAAAAGTTAAAAAAAACCCATTAAATGTGATGAATTTTTGTGAATACCACTGGATTAAGAGGCAAGAAATAAGCAAGGCAGTATAACACACAGCTTGGAAGCTTTGCATGGAGCTAACCCTATTTACATCAGCAGGGGGATGGGGGTTGCTTATATATGACCATTTTAGTCTACTTAGCAATTCAATTCTGCTGATAAGAATATCAGTATTTGGAGTTCTAGGTTTGAGTTATTTTGTAATAAAATCCATCATGTGACAAGTAAAAAGCCATTTTGTTTAGAATTAATTACAGCACGAGAAGGCCCTCACAATGTTTCTGCTACAATAGTTTCAATACCTCTGTTTTCAAAACAGTATGCAGAACGTAATTCTCATGTTTCACTACTACTGCCAGTGCATACTAAAATAATATATTTCTGTGTTTTATTTTTGGTTTCATGGCATTTTCAATAACTAGCTTACCATGACTTTTTTTCCTATTTTCTTCTTTTTTCTTTTCATGATGCTATTTTTCTTTTGATGTACTCTCTCCACCCATCATGTACAAAATGCATATTTATTTCCTCAACATGAGGGATTGAAATGGCTGGAATTGACATCTGTTAATAAACATATTTCTAAGTAAGAAATCATCCCCTGCCTGTAGAATTCGATTAGAAAGTTTTGCTCAGGCACATGCCACACTCAACAGAAAGACCTGGGTTTCTAGTGACTGTGAAATACAGGATACAATGCTGCATGAGCAACACTGCATTTTCACACACAGTCAGTGGGAACATCCAGACTTTGGCAGCATGGCTTAACTCCAAGGACTAGTGGAAAAAATTGTAGTGCACAGACCCCATCTCCAGCAAGGGCCTAGCAAAGACATGAGGTTGGACAGTTAAAGGGCTGAGGATTAATTCCCTGCCCAGCTTTTCTCTGGGACATGCTGCTAGGGCATCCATAAGGGTTAGCAGGAGCTCATTTCCAACCAGAGGTTAACGTGGCTACCATAAAAAAAGAGCACCCTGGTGCTACAAGGTGTGGACAGTGTAAACACCTGCAAAATTCTGAGACAATGAGGCACGAAGGTCACTGGGAGTGAAGTGAGGACAGGAAAGAGGAAAGGAAGATGTAATAGCTGAATCCTTTATATTTGCCAAACATAGCTTGATGTCTAAGATTTCTGATTTTGTTGGGTTTTCTTTTACTACGATGAGTGAATATAAACTTTTTGCAAAACAAGCCATTTGCAGCTTTTTTAAAAACTAAAGATAGTTTCTTAATTTTCTACTTGTCCTATAAAACCCCTCTTTTCAGGTGTTCTCTACTGTCTTGCCATAAATCAAAGTGAAGGAACAAAAATATACCCAAATAAGTCAATCATGCCAAAGTCAAGGACATCAAAATTTGGCCTCCTATCTGTGTTTTATAGAAAACTGTCGCAACTGTCTCCCAAGTAACTTTTATAGAATAAAAAAAGAAAATGGACTTTAGTTTATGTTCTTCTCAGGAGATGTCTTTACTGATAGCATCTCTACTCTTCTGCACTCACAGTGAGCACAGTACCTTTGTTTTTCATTGTGATTTGCTCACTTGCAGTCCAGCATTCAGCCACTTGGTATTTCTGGATAATCTGAAGTTGTACTTAAACTCCAGTTTGCAAGTGAGAAGCAAAACTGGAACAGGGACTCTCTGTAGCCTGTAGGTGCATTATTCAGTAAAATTCTCCCAGAGTAAAGCAGACAGTTGTGTTATTTATCATAGCAAATAAAAAAAGGGAAGAATTAGTAAAATTGGGGAAATGTCTTTAAGTCTCCCGAGTATATCTAAAATATTCCTTTTGGTGAATTTCATCGCTTTCTATTTGTGTCTCAGTTACTTGCCTTTTCTGTGACTGTTTCAGAATGAGAACTTTTCTGTTCTTGTCTTCACAGTTCATAACTTTTATTACTAGGATCAACTCTTTTTCCTTCTCACCACATTTAAAAGAAACCAGATTTTTATGATGTGGTAAGTATTCCTGAGCACAGTATAAGTGAAGTCTTGCCAGAGATTTCATTATTACTTCCTTACATTTACATCCTACATTTACAGCACTATGTTGGCTTTTAAATTTATTTCCAAAGTTATCTAGACATTCATGGACAGAAGAACACTATTATATCAAAATTCTTGAGGACCTGCTTTCCTCTGCTTCATTTCTACACTCTCCTTGGTTAAGGGGTTTTTTATTTTGATGGAGAGAAATTTTTTCTCCATTTACAAACATATATGCAAGGAACTGATCAAGGTCACAAGGTGTTTTTCTTTCCTTGGTTTTTTTTTTTGTTTTTTTTGTAGGGTACTATTACATCAAGAAACTGTGGTGAGAAATTACCATCTGATCTGATATTTGTGTCCTACATTGAGTACCCGATAAAATGAACCTAGTGCGTCATCAGAAGATGGATGATTTTGTGGATAAGGCTCAACCCCCCCTTACAATGAACTTTATAGCACATTTAGAGCCTTATTGTGGACTTGTATATATTTCAGAAAATGTTGTGTCAAGAAGAAATCCTTGGACTAGTGCCAAACCAAGGCTGCACGTCCACAAAAAATAATGCAGTGCTGGAGAGACACATTACCTTGAGACCCAAGAGCAATGCAGTTGTATTGCTCTGAGGATAATGAGCTTCTCAGCAAGGTGCATTAGCACTGATGGAAATATCATCTCTCAGTTTTGAAGCTTTCCTGGCTTGGGTCCACCCAGCCCAGGCAGTTCTGAATATTCCTTGTTTTGTCTCTCTTTCAGGGACTTTTAGCAAGTGGTTTAAATCTGTTTCTGTTATTGTGCTTCCTATTACTATCCTCCAATATTATTATTTTGGAAAATTCATGGAAATTTATTTCTGTCTGCCTGTCCAAGTTGCAACTGATCTGTTTAGAAATTCCTTTCATTTTATATATATTCAAATAGAGCCCTGCATTATAGAATCTAAATATCACTTTGAAAGAAATAATAAATAGAAATAAAAATACACAGTGGTTGAGGATAAATGAAGTCTGTATGACACTGTGAATTGGTGGTCAAAACAGCCTTGGTAGTCAGCAAAACACCAGAAAAGAAAACAGAAGAAAATGTGTGTATTTTTAAATAGATGCTTTTCCAGTTATGCAAGACAGGAAACAAAACAATTTGATGGAAAACACAAGCAATAAACTATGTTATATTTTAACTTAGTTTCTATTTTGTTACCAAGAAAGAACATCAACTGCAAATTGAAAAACATTACTGCAATACTTAAGCTATTAAATGTTTGTTTTGTTTTTTTTTTCCAGATGTCAGATAATTCTTTAATTATAACAGGTTGAGAAACTCTGCTCAGGCTATGCTCTAGCTAAAAAAGGCATCATAGAATATCTTTCCATGAAAAAAATGTGGATAACCAAGGTATTTCCTTTGCAATCTGTACTAACTTCCAGACAAACACCCTTATAAGTTTTTAGCCCTTTTTATGATTCAGGAACTTACAAAAAGCTAATTTAAAAAATCTTGGAATAGTAATGGTAATAGTAATAGTAATAGTAATAGTAATTAATAGTAATAATACAAGTGACATGAGTTTCTAATATGATATCATGATAATACCTAAAATAATTTGTAAAAAATAGCAATCCCTCTCTTCTCAGTAAGAGGCCTCAGTAAGAGTGCAGTTTATTTTGATCACCTTAGAGTAGGAATCCCTGTCCTTATTGTCCCTAGGTGCCTCTTCTTTAATTACGTTTTTAACCCAGCAATTTCACATTTGTGTATTGTGGTGCAGGTTGAGATGAACCTCCAAGACCGTTTCAAGCCTGCTGAGCACCCAGCAATGGACAAAGCCTCAGTGGAGTACACAGAGCTCTGCTAAATATTTCTTCTCTTTCCTGCAGAATGGCCTGCTTGGTATGAAATATAACAGGCTGAAGGCCACGAGACCACTTTGCCACTTTAGAATATAATTAGTTTATCATCACTCAGCAAAGCCAGCTGCTTCCATACAAACCACTGCCACTCCCCCAAACCCCCACACACCCCAATTTGCCCAGGAGGACCAAACTGTGCCAACATTTCTGAAATCATTGTCAGGCACTAGAAGCTCACACCCTGTGTGTCATCCAAGGCCTGTCTCTCCATCAGTATAATAAATACCTCATGGGAAGTGTTCTGCTGCTCAGAAGGCATGACAAATCCTGAGTCACTCACACCATTTCTTTTAGTACGCAAGTATTTGGGTATTGCCTTTTCCCCTGAAGGTCTCCCTTCTGAGCATAGCTTGAGTCAAACTATTTTGACTTAAAAGATGTGAGACCAGCTTTGCTGTTAATATGCTTCCTCAAAATGTGACCACCATTCTTGGGGTCTTACTTGTGCTAGTTTTTGTTCATGCAATGAAATAATATTTCATCTTCTTTTCTATATTTCAATATACTGAAATGTATTGAACAACCCCATGTGGTTAAGGGAAACCATACTCTTACCTACTATGTTTAGAATTTTAAAAAGGGGAAATTTATTTCAGTGCAATAGAACTGCTGCTCAGAGATTTATAATGTGGTCTGATGGACAGCCACACACAAACCATGCCGTTATCTTCCCAGCTAAGCCAGGCATTTGGGCTTTTCACAGCAGAACAGCAATGGTAATTGATTGCAGGTGTACCAGGCAGCAAGTAGCACTGGGATATTTCACTCCTTCATCCTGCCTCAAACAGCACCACGTCAGCAGGAAGATGCACTGGGCTGGTCTCTTTGAAGGTACTAAACTCATGACATGTTTGGAAAACAACAAACTCAGAACTTCCTGGAAGATCTCATTTTCGCTACTATTTCTTCTATGACTTATGAAGGTTGCAACTTTTCCTTTCTCAAAAGGAGGCTACTTTATTTAGAAAGATGCAAATAAAAGTTTAGATTTGTAAAATGTAGATGTAGAGAAGTCTTGGGCATCTGAGAGAAAGAAAAGGAAAGGGAAAGGGAGAAGTATAGGGAGTTTTTGACAAGGATTTTGACAGTGGGGTGAGAGGAAATTGTAATGGAAATCAGCTTTCACATATGTAAATTGTGTAAGGTCCACTTGATTCTTCACCTTTATAGGTACTTCTTCATGGAATAAAAGAACCAATGCTTTGGTTTGTTTAAGAAACATAACTGACTTCATTTAGGGACTAACATCTCACTTGAAATAAAAATCTAAATTGTAATCAAATATGCCATTCAGTGTAATGAAATTATAAATAAACTTTGTTTTATCTTAAGAAGCCTTCTATTACCTTAAAAATATCCAAATAATACTGGATTTTGACATTAAAAATTAAAATCTTGCCTTAGAAAATTAAAGAAATAAGTTGAGTTAAGCAATTTACTTCTGAAGAAGAGTAGATGAAGAATAAGGGTTGTTTCTGACTCTCATTTGGCCAATCTGATGGCTGTATCCTGTTGAAGCAAACAGTTTGTGATGAGTTAGTTCCAGGGCTGGAAGAACAGCTTTTCTCACAAAAACATATTTCCTGAATTTGATTAAAATTTTCAATTGTATTTTTGGTGAATGAATTAACATAGAAAAAGATCTCACAAATCTATTTAGTCTTCTAGTGAGGTGTGAACTGCCTGTGCTATCTGTGCTCCTCTGGGGATTCTTTTGAATCCTCACCAGCTCAGAGCCCTGAGTGAGATTCTTCTCTAGTCCCTGGCAGTGCACACAGGTCAGAACCATTTCACCTTTTTGTCAGAGAGGGATACCTCTCTGATAAAGGTGTCTTGTCAGTTTATAACAGCTTTGTGCCCAGCATTATTGGGACCAGCAAAGTGTTATGGTCGTGTGACAGTGAAATACAAATTGACCTGGACTAGAGAATGGTTTCTGGATTAAGTAAAATGGCTGGGAGGAAGTTTGCAAACAAAAATGAGATAGAAATCAAAAGGTGAGGTAAAATGAGCACTTTGCTAGGTCCTGATGAATTCCTGCTAAAACTAACAGGGATTTGGCTTACTAATTTGATGGAATTTGAAGAGGACTTAAAGAACTGAAGGGTCACAAAAGTAAAAGCAAAGAAAGGGAATGAAGGCATGTTAATATTTGATGCTGACAGGGAAATTTGATGAAGATGAAACAACATGGGCAGAAGCACTTGGAAAGGAGACTTACATGCTGTGGTTTTGTGAGAAAAGCATGAATATAGAGTATATTATTTAGGACAAAATGAGAATATGAGTGCATCACTTAGGGAAGGTGTAGTTAGTAAACTGTTACCACATAGCAGAGAATGAACAGAGAGAAAGGAAGATTCTGGAAAACTTAACATTTGTACATTTGTGTTTTATAGCTTATTCCATTTGTATTTTAGCAAGTTGGTACTGGAGACAGAATGGTCACTCATTTGCAATGCCTTCATCTGCATATGGGATAAAGCTGTATTACAAACTCTAGCTTTATGTGGTTGGGCTATTTAAGTGTTTCCAAGAACACAGAAGGCATGTGTACTCCTGCAGTCACCACCAATCCTTGCAGCTTGGCAGGGAGAACTCTCCATTCCTGGGAGACATTCCTAGCTGTGTCTCTGGGTGCAGGCCCTACAGGAGATGTGAATGTGCAAGCTGGTTTGCTTTCTCTGCTTCTGGCAGATGAAACATGCAGTTTAACTCTGGTTCTCCCTGACTCCCAGCTCTAGGTGTAACACCAAAACAAAGCTATATTGACTAACACACAAGGTTGAACCCTTAACCACCTGACTCGAAGCAAAAAGTTGTATGTAAGATAAACAGATAGCAAAATTCTATCTCCTGATTGAACAGCAGCTCCCCTGCTCAGCTGGTTCAGTGTCCCTCACCAGCATGGCCAGTCATGACTACACAGGCCAGAGATCCAGTTTAAGTTACATCTGCCAGGCAAATCCTCTGGTCTGCAGACCAACTCCAATTCCAAAAACTTCCCATTCCTTGGAGTTATATTTTAGGTACAAATGTCCACGACATTTTCTCTAGGTTTCATAACTATTAAGCCACGGGTGGAGTAGACTATAAAAATGTCATTCTGAGCTCTTTTAGGGAATAGTGCCGCAGGTGCTCTTGTTCCTAGTTATCAGCCTTTGCAAACCCAATCAAGGCCACTAATAAACATTGATTACATGTTATACAAGACAGTAGTTTTGTATGTTTTATGATGCTCTGGATTTTGGTTGTGCTTGCAGCCTCCATTAGAGACTACAAAACATCTAAACCAGTAAGAGATGATGAGAGATTGACATACACAGTTGTATTAACTGTGCATCGTGATAGAAAAGTTGTTTCTGGGATCCCCCCTGGATGTGTGTTTAATGTTTACATGCCAATGTAGAAAACTGGCAGAATTCAAAGGCTTCCAGTCCTCAATGCCCTGTGAGTTTTTATACCGCCACTGCTGAAGTCCAATGATGTGAATGTCAGTATTTCATCTGTCAAAGTTGCTACCAACAAACATTAAATTTGCTGGTCTTAAATTAAAAAGTTGTAATGTATCTTTAATGAAAGATTTAGTCAGTGCTTGTTACATTTATCTCAGCTGTTGTTGTGCAAGACATTACAGAAAAAAAAACTCTGTCAAAAGACTTCAAAATCAGAGAGAAAATTAGTACCCAAGTTATTTCATTGATAAATTTCCAAATTCTATTTTAAAATGGGCTTAGGGAATTGTCCTGATTTACTGAATTTAAATAAAGATTGAGCACTTCTTGGAATCTTTGATAATAACAAATACCCACTCTAGAAATGTGGATGTCAAGAGTAAAGGAACTGAAAAAAATGTTGTGACTAACTGCCTGCATTAGATTAATAGCTCAACTGTTTTAAGAAAAAAAGGACAAGTTGTTAAAAATATACAATTGGTGTAACTTTTATAACTGTAGGTATACTTCTGTGATCCACAACTTGCCTTGCTGCATTCCCATATCCTGTATCTGTCACTTTCTCTTTTTCTGGTTATATAAAGAAATAAGCTGTGTTACTGACAATTTTCTTTATGTTCAATACAAGCTTGAAATCAGAAACTCAATTTGAAACAAGATGTTTTAATTACTGATAACAAAGATGAAGATCACTCTGGTGGGAAAATATTAGATACATTTATTGTTCTCCTCAAGTAAAAAATGTGTTTCAAAGAAACACCAGAAATTCTTGATTAATCACCTTCCTCAAATATTCAAAAACTGAAAAAACCCACTTTTTCTTCAGTAAGGACTCAAGAAACATTCCTAAGGAAACAAAGATGTACTCTTAACACTGCCAAATCTGTTATAGTTAATATGTAAGGCCTTAGATTAATTAAGCTGATCTCTGTTTTCCCTCATCTTTCATTGATTCCACCTGGACTGGTCAGAATGAGTTGTCCATGCTTGTGTGCAGTTTAGCTACAGCCTGTAAAGAATAACATATGCTTGTGTCACCATACATGTTACAAGACAGAGAGAAAAAGAATAAAGGGCTATTTTTTCCTTCAGTAATTCTTATACAGAACTAGAAATTAGCATGACTTTAATACCAAGTCAGATGTAAGGAGCAGAAAAACCATGGCTTCAACAAGGGAATACTTACAGAGATTTGACTGTGTCAGCATCCCCGTGAACTTTTTACTGCCTGCTGGTGACAATGGGGGTGGTAAATCAGTAGCAGATCTGGAAACTGAATCCAGTATCCATCCCTCATGTTATACATAAGATGATCAGAGTTTTGGGGATGCTTTCATTTTCAGACCACATCAAAATTATCCCCACTGCTTTCTTACGCAGGACAAACTCTTCCTTGGGTGTCTGTGAATGGTCACTTTTAGTGTGTCTGGTCCAGATTAGAGGCATACTTTGGAAGTGAATCTCCTGATCATCACTTCATGCGACTCATTCATCTGCAATGAGTGCATGAACAGGCTTTGTTCCAGATCATGTGCTCCAGAGGGCACCCAGTGAACTGCAAACACCAATGGGTATTGAATTCAGAGGACCAGACTCACGGTAAAATTCAGAAGACCACAGACTGGACACCTAATTCTCAGGCCCAGCTTCTACATTCTGCAGAATCTCCTATTTCCCTGCACTAGTTGCAGATGGAACAGACTTTATATCACGTCCCTGTGTACCAGCAGCTGGCAGAGAAGGGGTGCATGGAAGAATTAGAAGATAAGATCTGGGGATTATTTTCCAAACCCTCTGATCTCAGCTGTATGACCGAATGTCACTATCCTGAAAAAGGGGTGACTAATGAGGTCAAGAAATTCTTCTTTTCCCTGGCACTTTTACAGTGTCCACAGTGTTGGACAAGACAGAAGACAATGATAAGATTTGCTAAAGGGTCCCTGTGGACTTGATTTAACAAAGCATCAGAATTTTGGTGGTCCATCTTCATGTAGAAATTCACTGCTTTTAATAGACCAAGCTAAACATCGTGTTATAAATACTAGAAAATGCATGCTATTTTTTTGTATGATAAAACAGTAATTTTGTGCAATTTAACTGAAAATCTCGTGTTAAAACCATTCTCATTAAACCTGTATCAAAATCAGAGACAGAAATGATAGCGTGTAAATAATTTCAGAATATGCCTCTATAGTATTTTGCTTTAAATTCAATAAACAAGACTGCTGCTGTGTGTGTGTTATTAAATTAAATGTTAAGTTTTATTAATTAAGAATAGCAATAGCCATCATTATTAACACTGACAGATAAATATGTATTTCTTTCTTTTTCTTATAGTTTTACTTGGTGGGATAGCATGATGGCTTGACATACTAAGAAAAGTTACCTCATGCTTTCTTTTGAACAAAAAATTAGAACAACTTAAAAACTGAATTCTGCTCAAGGTTAGACATACCACAGGAGACAAATGAGAGGTTTGTGCAAATATAAATATTTGAAAATATAAAAAATGTAAAAAATACCTGTTTTGGAATGATTTTTTAAGACAAATTAGATCTCTAAGTATGTGATAAAGGATTTTCTTGGCAGCACAGATTTACTAGGAGGGAGAGGGCACAAGGTGAATTAACATCGTTGTCAAAACAGGCTGCTATGCCAGGGTTAGGGAGATGTTGCTCTACTGACATAATTCTCTTTTAAATGAGTTGGTGCTATCCAAATCTTTTAGGTTTAGTGCAAGCAGTTTCCTTTGGACTGTGCTTCTGCTGCAGGTGTGGAAGCAAGAATGCCTGAGGCTGCAGTATTTACTGTGGATCCAGCAGTGTAGCCTTGGACCAGCAACTCACAGCAAAACTCTCACTGATTTGAGCTTGCTGCT